TTTTTTTTTTTTCCACACATTTTTGTTACGACCGAGCAAATCACAAGCATTTTTCTTGCTTGCCATAACAATTTCACACAAAGAAATTCCAATAAGCAATCGCGTGAGTTCATAGAGCATGTAAGCAAATATTTTACACTAACACACTCGATTTACTTTAGCGCCAATGGGATGAAATTTAAAAGTAATAGCGAAAATATAACGAATTAGCAAGAAACGCAGCTCGTAAAAAACATTTTCCTATATACAAAAACAATATACACCACAGCCATTGCGCCATGCACTAATGTGCTAATCAACATAAAAATTGACTCATATGCTTAGCTGTACAAATAGAATAGAGACCATATTTTCTCATTTTAATTGATGTCTAAAACTGAAGGCAACGACTTCAATTAAGCTTTATATTAAAAGCCGCTTAAATGCAATTTAAATTCGTTTTACAGAGATTGCACAATTTATCGAGTTTCCGATAAATAGAATGCATTTATACAGCTTTAACAGGCATGCTTGCGGGACAAGCATAAGTAGTTACATTATGTGCATACGCAAAGAGCAAGCTACATATTTATGTTCGTAATCAGAATATACCAACTTCTTTTAAAATACAATCTTGCAAAAATTCAATGGGGAAATCATATGTGGTATACATTTGCAGAAACACTGGACGTTACATGTACGATTGATCGAATCGCATAACAAATAGGTGATATGTATGTACATACATACATCAATATTTATATGGATGAGCTGATTGTTCGAGCAGGCACGTACAGCTACCATTGTTGGGTAGGAAGTATTGATACCGTATGGATATATGTAATTGTATGTAGGCTAATGTATCGCATAATTTTTTTCATTTCCTTAAAATGCGATATGATGTTCAAATTCAGGTCAGTGTCTTTTTTTGTTAAATAAAAATTAATAATTTTGTGTGATTTTTCATGCATAAACTTCCGCTTTAAATCAAAAAAATACTAATATGGGTGATGCTTTTAAAAAACGATATTAAAAATGAAACTATAATAAATGTAAGCTTGATAAATAAAAAAAATTATTATTATT